CACTAACACCGGAATTTGAGCCATGCGATTTCTATGGCCAGCTGAGAAACATTTTTGTCTTGGATTTGCCGCCATCCCGTGATCTTGGGCTTTCAGAGTCGACAACTATCTTGCTCGCTGCTGTACACTCAGTGAAGATTGACAAACCGGCAGATATTGATGTCCCATTCTACAGGGAAGAAGGTCGGACAGAAGTAGTGGATCTCGCCGCCGTGCAGTGCGTAGTTGGACGTGTGTATGATGATGTGCGTAAGTGGTGGGCAATTATTGACCGGAGTGGTCCTTTGGCCCAGCCGATATTCGTCGAGGGCGGGGAGGACAGCCTCTCATAACTGTCCCAGTACTAGTATTGAACTGTTTTTTGGGACTCAATTGCGGCAGGATCTCATTCTATAATCGTACTACTTTACACTCCTCTTTGCAGCCACTGCTTCCGTTCGATTTTCAGCTTGATACCGGCCAAAATTAGCGTACGTTAATTCGACCTTCATTTGAGCCGATACTCGCTTTCGACCGAAAGCAACCTATTTCCGGCCGAAATGACAGAAACACACGATTACCGGTCTAATTTAGGCCGGGCTCGCGCACACAGTGGCTGTAGGACAGGCATATCCGCAGCAACGCACAGACTTGCCACTCGGATCTCTCTTGCAAAAGCGGTGGGTTCAACGAGAGTGGCTTCCGGCAGGGAGCAAGGGTGGAAGGAAAACCGCGTCGCCTCTAATCTCCCGACTCTGTGTTTAGGAGTAGAATGCGCCAAGTTCTCTATGTCGGTCGCCTGGGCGAGTGTGTCAGCATTGCGCGGACAACATCCACTAGCGGTACTGAGATAAGCATTCGAAATACGTACTCTATATGCCACAATGCTCTCAAACGTTGTATGTTCATTTAATATATTCTTTAACTCGGGCGGCGAAAACTTCAACGGTTTGGCCTCCTTTCCTCCAACTTCCTGATCGATTCTGAAGTTTCGTTGGCCTCGCACGCATTGCGATTCACGTCGCAAATTCCACTCGCGCGACCTATAACGAGAATTTGTCTGGTTGATAACGGGGACGTCGTAAGCTTGAATAATACATTTCAGGGATAATAGTGGATGCACGCTGCGGAATGCGCACAGGTCAGATCTTCGACGCGAATTCGCTATTGCTACCTTAGGAGATCAAGTGATTGCGACGGCGCGTGCTCGGTCTGTGGACGCTTTGACCAACTTGAAGGACAAAGGTGCGGCAGTGCTCGCGCTTGCACGTGACAGATCCTACGGATGTACTTGAGCGCATTGCAGCAGAGGCAAAAATATACGGGAGAATCGACGTACTGGTGATCTCAACTTCCATCACTATCCATGCTTTGCATCTGTATCGCTGATGATATAGCAGGAGCATATACCGGAGTTGGAGTCTTAGAAGATCAGACGTCCGTCGAGAACAATGCAAATTACGTACAGATGTCGTCCTTAACACTTTCCGCCCCCGGAGCGGAAGATGAATCCGACAGTTCAAGTAAGTTAGACACTCACTGACAGTTGTATATAGAAAGTCCGCCTCCACTCCAGAACGAATTTACTTGGACCTTTGAACGTCACCCGAGCGTTCCTACCCTACATGCGTGAACGGAGATCCGACACAATTATACCAGCTGAGACGGCACCACCCAGCCATATTGTCAATGCTGGTCTTTATTGCGCTACAAAGGCGGCAATGATTCTGTGCGTCAGATGACGACAGGGTATGGAGCATGTCCAATGCTTACGGATAATTTGACAGGGTCCTTACGATCTTGATGAAATCCGAGAACATAACGCGTAAACAGAAGACTAAATCTTGCGCCAACTCTTGAGGCCGGTCCGAAGACACGGTCGTGCGCGTACCTTATTAACCTGTCGGCATAGGCGATACAGATAGCGAGTCTCATCACCCATATTACGCTCTATCCATACGTTCTCTCTGTCTGTGCTGTAATATCATGCCTGAAAGACTTGTGTGGTTGATAACGGGAACGTCGTAAGCTTGAACCACACACATTATGGATATCCAATATACCCAGTAGGGCATGGACAGATCAGGCATCGGACGCGAGCTCGCAATTGCCGCCTTAGCCAGAGGCGACCAAGTAATCGCAACGGCGCGAGCTCGCTCTATGGGTGCGCTAACCCACTTGAAAGAGAAAGGAGCGGCACTGCTTGAGCTGGACGTAACGGGCCCTCTGGACCTGCTTGAGCGGATCGCAGCAGCTGCTGTCAAAATTTACGGGAGGATAGACGTACTCGTCAATAATGCTGGTGAAAAATTTCACCCTCCGCCAGTGGACACCATTGACAGTACAGCAGGAGCGGTGACCGCGTTTGGTGTGATAGAAGATCAGACGTACGTCGAGAATGATCGAAGTTTACCAGGAAATGCCGTGCTCAACTGCTTCGATTGCCTAGACCGGAGGATACAATTGGACAATTCAAGTAAGGCAATGTGCACTCACTGTTCACTGTATACAGAAATTGACCTGGGCTCTAGCACGAATCTGCTTGGACCTCTTAACGTTACCCGGGCATTTCTGCCCTATATGCGCGAAAGGAAATCCGGCACTGTCGTGTGGATCGGAAGCGTTGGCGCCTACACGTACGTCAACAGTGAAAAAATACATGAATGAGACAGACTAAGATGGCTCTATCCAGTCGCATTATCAATTGCGGTCTATACTGTGCTACAAAGGCGGCAATGATACGTACGCACATTTCTTCCCATCACAGATAGATCATCCTGATTGTCGTGGCAGGACTGTCTGAAGTGCTGAACGCCGAACTTCAGCCGTTCGGCGTCCGCTCGATCTACTTTGAATTCGGCTACTTCCGCACCGAGATGACCCAGCCAGAGAGGCAGCCTCCTTTGAATCAGAGGATCCCCGCGTATAAGGAGATTGCAGAGAAATGGGATGCAGAGATTCGAGGTGCGTGCTGACGGCTTTCACTGCCAGTGCATACCGTCACGGATGAGGCCATGACTCCAGCCGTGCATGGCAAGCAGCCCGGATGCCCGAAGAAAGGCGCACAAGTCGTGGTTGATGTGATTCGCGGAGAGGGCCCCGCGGCTGGGAGAGATATTCACAATACAATGGCTGTCGGCTCGGATGTGTATGGTGTCATAGAAGAGGAGTGTGTTGCCACGCTGAAAAGGCTACAGGACTGGAAAGAAGTTACTCAGAGCACAGACGTAGAGGATGCTGGGGAAGGATTATCGGCTTAGAGACCAACAACGTACCATTCTGTAGTAAAGTGACGAAACATTCAGTGGGACGTACGTTCTTGGCTATAACAATCCGTTTCCCGCTGATACAAGATCAGTTTGTAACATGCAGGGCAAGTCACCCCATTACCAGGGGCTCGAATTGAGCGCGAACATAAGCGTAGGGACTGAGGCTACTCGCTTGTAGGAAACGTGACGCACTATCTGTGCATTTTGGACAGATTTGTCTTACAAGTACTGTCCTACAAACCCGCAGAAGGGCACGTCTCTCATTGCGACTCTATAGAAGTACGTCGTCAAACCCGACCTTAAATAAAAAAGGGAGTACGTACCACGTTCCTAAGCAGCCCCCGCTCCCCTCCACCACCTCACTACACCATCCTCACCACCCGTCACGAACCCGCTCGCACCTCCTGTCGTAGGGCCCCTCTGCCACGACACCGACCACACCTCACCGGCGCACGGGTCCTGAATCGTCGATACACATGCCCGGGAGGACAGGTCCCACAACTTCGCTGTGCGATCCGCGGACCTAAATCGAGCACGAAATCATACACAGAGTTGGGGTTATGGAGGAGTAGAAAGACATACCCGGATAGAGCCAGTCGACCGTCAGGGGAGATATCGTTTGAGAGGACCCACGAGGTGTGTCCCGTGAGTGAGGCAACAGCGCCGCCGCCTTTGGCGCCTGCGCCTCGTACATCATGGAGTATTAGACGCTTGTCTTCTGACGCGGACAGAAGTAGCTATATGCGTATGTCAATGATTGGAGGGTATATGCGCGCCAGATCAGAATGAGCAGGTCATACGCAACGGTGCATGGAGGAGCAAGAGGTCGAGGCTGACGTACCTGAGAATCCGGACTCCATGCAAGCGAGCGAACAGCCATTGCGTGTGAGGTGTAGGTCGCTGTCAGCTGAGAGGATGCGAGGTCGAAGATGTATATCTGGCCGGTTTCGGAGGATAGCGCAAGGCGCGCACCGTCCGGACTCTTGAGGAAATGTTAGTCTTCACTGCATGTTCAATGCACAGTTGGTTATCGAAGACCAACATGTTTGCAGAACATCCCGAATTTATTCCTCCCGCTCGATAATTTAGCTTGCGGCTCGCCAAAGCTCGACGGATCCGCTGAATGGATGCTGACGTTCCCTCCTCCGCCAGTCGCAGCATATGTCGCTCCAATCGGGTTTAACGACACAGACCAAGCTATACGATGCGTCGCATCTCCGTCCTTCACGCCAACCGCTCTGAATGCACCCACCTGGTTCCCCATGGCCTTTCCTCTGATAACTCTCCCATCGCCCAGCCAGCTCGTTCTTCTCAAGATCCCATAGGCACGTTAATCCCTCGATGGTGTTGTAGAGCGCGCGCTTTCCGTCCGGGCTGACGCTAAGACTAACGATACCCAGAGTATGTGCAGGAGCAGAGATTGAGAGTTGTCCCGACGTCGAGTCATACGCATGAACTTGACCAGAGGCAGACACCGAGATAACTTGCGAGCTTGGCGACGAGTGCACGCCCCATATCGCGTCCGAGTGGGCTAAACGACGGCGACGACCGTGAGCTCGCCCGCATCAAGACGCAAGCAGGGAGACATACGATCTTTGGCCTCGAGAGAGAGTAAATATGCGAGACTCTGCGGTTTTATGAGACCATCATTTGTCAGAGGATTTGCGAAAGAAATACCATATCGTTGAAAGATTTCAGTGGAGATATTCACGAGTTCAAGATTGAAGTTGAATCCCGGTCCACCGGAGAGTTGTGGCTCGAAGTGCCACGTGCCCGAAATCTTATCTTATCCAAGCCACAGCAAATAATTGACTGGATTTCGACAATTACAAGAACGACAGACATACTGTATATTATTATACACCGGGCAGTAAATCTGCCGCGGTACAAAGGATACAATGTGTAGTGGAATATCTCAGGTGTGCGCGAACGAACTGTGTCGAAGCAAGACATCGTTGTAGAGGGATACGCAGCTAAAAAATGAACGGAAGAAGACCAAGGCTATCGTTTCACCACCGGCGGATAGGCTTCAACGCCGGCTCCGGCCATTCGTCCTTGTCGCGGGCAGACCAAGGCTCACCAAGCCCCAGTATGATATTGAGGTCGCTCGTATTCTTCCGCCTATTCCGAGAGTGAAATAGGATTGACGAGAGGCGCACTTCGGACAAGGCTGAAGATGACTTGAGCATAAAGAGCAAAACGTTCCTGTGCATCAGAGAATGGGCCGATGCACAATCGACCTGCAGGTGTGATAGCGCCGGGAATCGGAGATCCAAAGGGGTTCTTGGAAATGAACACGGGATGCAGCAGGGAGGCCCAGGCTACAGCAGATGACGGTAGGTCTGAGTAAGACGAGGGGATCTGGTATGCATCAATAAAACGTGTCCAGGCCGTGCTGCTCGGCTCTGACGAAATCGACGATGCAAACAAAGGTCTCCAGCGTCAAAGACACCAACTGAATGATGTCGCTACCTGCGATGTTCAATGCAGTAAGAACGTGATACGTCCGCTACAGAAACGAGACCCACTGAAGTCCTGATTGGTCATCAAGAAAAGGTGACAGACGCTCACGCCGAGCCAGCTCAGAAAGCTCGAAGGAAAAGCGACTTCCGACGAGACGTCTCGAGAACAACGAACCGGATCTGTGTCTCCTTGAAGCCGGGTAAAATCTAAAAGCTGGTTGACACGCAGCTGAGGCTACACGCCGTTCTTCCCGCCGTCCCAACAGACTAAACGAAATTATTGTCAAACCCATATTTTCACCGCAGGATGAGCGAGAGTGAAGGCGACACTGCATCAGAGGTAACGATGCTAGTCAGCAACCCGTGGTGTCAGAGTACCAGCTAGCGGCTATAAACTTACCGCAGAATCTGATTCCAGCCACTCTTCCTCGGAAGAGGACTTGAAGTTGAAAGCGCGATGTAGTTTGGCCTTGTTGTGCTGAAACACGCTCACTGCCAATGATAGGCTTGTGACAATCCCTACGACTTCCCAATCGCTCTCCTTAATTCGCCGATTCCAGTATCTGGTCGGACAACCACTGGAAGAAGGACCCGTCTCCAGAACCTGGCAAACTCATTTGATGCCGTTGCATTTGGGATCGGCGGATACTCGGACCCATCTATACTCAGTATCCCGAGATTCGACCTTTTCCATCTGGAACTTACGAGGTCCTATCCCATTGAAATCTATCTTAGGCTCAGACGCTTAATATATCCGACCTGATATCTGTCTAAAAACCCACGCAATGGTGATGCCCTTCACGAACACGAACGTCATGATGCGGTATGTTGTCGCTCCGCAGCTTCACAACGCAGCTTCTGTTACACCAGCGGTGGAAGTTATTGATGCTCTATCTGTCCTGAGAGTCGTAAATAACCACCCAGGCCAAAGGAATACGGCGGAGTATGTATTCATTCTATCAGTTTGTCTGTTCTTTCTCAAGAACGCGAATATAGATGATGGCCTGGCCGCCTACTTATCACGGTCTTGCTTATCACAACCTCTTGATGATCTCGAATCAGATATGATACATCAATCATCGTGCTTTATTTATGGTTGACTACCATATAAGACTGCGGGAGTCCTATCAAGGTCTCCTTGACCGTCTATTGCGCGCGAACTCCCCTTGGCCACCTTGAGGCGTCATGTATATATCAGCGCCAGAGGTGAATTTCTAGAGAATGCGCTCTCACATTCGCTGAGGTGGTCACACAGGAAACCTTGATTACCACAGCTGTACGTACTAATCGTTTCTTCCACAACGCGCGACATTAAGTCCAAGGCAGTTTGAAGGCGGTTTATATGGTGTGGTGTCCATACTCTCTCATAGACCTTGTCGAAGCTTATACAGCTCGGACGAGCAGCAATATACCTGGTCATCTTCATCACCAGTTTTGTATTAACTTGGCGCAAGGCGCGCTATTCCCGCCTCCATGCTCGCCTCCAGATCGTTATCGGGATCTTGTTCATTGGGACAACTGCCAACTTCATTCTCGATGTTTGCACGGCCCACGTATACTACCTCTCTCCGGTGTACTACGAGGATACACCCCATGCACTCCACGAACAAAACATTTACAACCTTTTGTCATGTATACGGGACGGGATCTTCGGTCTGAATATGTACGTCCTAGCATATGCGCGATGTCTTCACTAGACCGAACTTGTACCTCCTGCAGGTTTATCGCTGATGCGCTACTGGTACGGAATCTCCTAGGGCTGTTTCGTGGTCATTATAGAGCTGATCATGACCCCGAAACGAAGGTCTGGCGCTACTATGTGTTCTGGAACGGTAGATTTGTAGTTATTCTCTTCCCCATTTTCCTTCTTACTCTCGAAGCATGTACGCAATATATTTCTTTCCCGTTCTATCATGATTTCTGACCGCCAACCAGCACTGGGAATAACCGTCATCATCTTCCAGGCTCGCATCTATGTACTTCGGCGAAATACACCATGGTCGGACCCACTTCCGTCCTCATGGTACGACGCGTCCGCTAAGGTCGCGGTCTTGAACAAAGCTTACTACGTATCGACCTTTGCCATCAATATACTCCTGAGTATTGCTATAGGTCAGCAGTCGAAGTGCACTGATAGACCATTCTGACCCCAAATAAGCCTGGAAAATCTGGTCGATGCTCCGCTTGATAGCGACAGGCCCTGAAGCTCGTCGGATGTCAAAATACTCCCGTGTTGCCCACACTGTGTGAGTTATCAATCACATTCTCCAAGCCCCATTGCATATCGAGATTCTCATGTACTGTGTTCAGGCTCGAATCTGGAACAATATATTCTGTGATCATTCTGTTAGCTATCATGCCAGGCAGTGGGCTGCTCAGGGTACGGACTTTGTGATACCGATGTCAAGTTATTCTAAAACAAACTCAGGATATGGCCGGTGTCGCCCTCATGATCTGCGTGGTAGGTTCCTTACTGCGCTTACCCCGTAAGGGTCCTCATCGTTGCATTTCAGGGTTTTGTCCCAAGCATGGTCATAATACTGGTCACTCTGTGTAAAACCACTGAGTATACAACACATACGACGGATAACGCCATCCTGGAGACTAGTATTCGGTTCGGTACATCACCTAACATGCCGCAGAATACAATCAAGGATGATTCTGCACCTGCGATCAACATTAGGCTTGAGGATCTGCGGTTTCCCGATCGTGATGGGAGTAAGTCGGAGGTAGTGACAGGTTTTCTAACAAAAGACAGTAGCTCAAGAGTGCCCGCGATGCATGCTGGGGAAGGCTGGGGCGGATGGTGAGACTGGCTCATATGATATAGTCGAAGTTTTCTGTGCAGTGTGTTTATAGATGAATTGCCCAATAATATCAAACATATACATAATTGGGCGTTGTTGCACTGGACTCGTTTTGCTAGTTGGGTCAGACTCTTTATGCCATTGGACTACACTCCCCGCGTCTTCCAATCGCTTGGGACACAAAACGGACGTACGATAATAGCAGGTTTCTTAGAACTACGGCCGGCACGGGAGCGAACAGCTAATATTATTGTGACCATCATAGCTACGGGCACCGCCGGAGCCGAGGTCTACCTTATCAAATGGCAAGCGAATCACCATTCTGGCATCGTCAGTTCGCAACTTAGAAGTCATTGCGGACTCACGTTGACACGAACGTGAAAACCACTATACTTACCTGTAGTGGTGTGATCGAGACTGGTGAACTGACCATCACTTGTAGTTTACTGTTTATGGCCGAGATGGATGATCGGTGCATCACCTCCATTGGATCTGTTACAGTGCCTTGCATAAGAAACTGAACATTTCCGCGCGCGTTGTTTGTTCGCGCCAAATATACCCTTTTCTGAATCGGGTAGGTCCGGAAGGCCTCTCGCGGGACCGTTTGTTGGGCAGGGACTCGCAGACGACCCGAGACGGCTCGAAAGGCTTCAGAGAATGCATGAAATGTATATTCTACAACTACACTTAGTACACTAAGGGCTGTAAATCATTATACTCTGCCCCCACCTGTATGCCTAGCTACCCTCCCTCTCAATGGGTCTTTGCCCGGTGCCGCACATTTGCCGATACCCGAAAAGGGTATATTTGGCGCGCGCGCGGAAATGCGATGTTCAGTTTCTTATGCAAGGCACTGTATCTTACATATGAAGGGTAATTCGACTGCGGTATCGGCTGAATAGCCTGACCCCAACTGAGATAATCGGCCATAAGCGAAATAACATCAATCATATACACCCTTTTAAGGTGTTCCAAGTCGCGAACTGGAGTCGGATGGAACGACGGTATGGATAAGCTCCCTTCCAACCCGCCGTGGGCCGTAGGTTAATCATGCTCCTAACCTTCTTCAACTACTGCACCACTCGAGTCCGTTTCTTTCTCTTTGGTACACATTATTCCTGCTCTATCATCAATGTCTTCATCTAGAGTCGAGTTGTCCAGTACGACGTTGATTGCTTCAATAGTACCGCTCTGCTGCGTACTCGTTTCGGCGCTAGGTCCTGAACCGAAGCGCATAGCAGACACAGTCATCATGCCCGTGTGCCTGGGTGACAGGTTTTCCACGGTTTTCCCGAGTGTCAGCAGGATGACTACGGTAGTTGGAACCAGACCCTGAAATATAGTTGACGTTATGTCCGATTTTTCATGTTGCTGTACAAAGACACTTACAATACTTATAAGGAGAGCCGCACTGGAAAGAGACTGAATGTGTCGGTCAGCAAGTAAAATATCTCGCATCAACTGACAACAAACTCTTACTTGTAGGATTCCGCCGGCCGGTACCATGGCAAGGAGTATGATCATGGAATATATTATTCCAGATTCCAGACTGAGGATGCGAGATTTCAGGAAGTTGAAGTATGTCAAGTAAGAAACTCACATAATATGCGCTATGCGAGAATACTTGGGTAGTGGGGTAGAGCGTCCTTCTTGAATTGGGCGTGACATACGCCATATTGTCCATGCTAAGATGCCGTTGGCATGTTGGTACCTGGTTCAAACCGTGCACTCACATATAGCAATACTTAGGATTATGTTTATGGCGAATGTCGACAAGTAATATGCCTTATTCAAGACTGAGAGTGTGGAGGAGACTTTGTACCATTCTACAGGCACGGGATCTGACACAGGGGTATCCCGCTGAATTAGGTACTTGAGAGCCTGGAAAACGATGACTGTGGAGAGCTGTAATATTGGTCAGGAATATGTGGCTATGTCAAGGGAGCAATCTAGTGCTCACCTATCTCTATGACCAGCAGGATGATGGGAACTAGGATTGCCAATAACGTCCCATTCCAGAAGACGTAGTACCGCCAAACCTTTGGTTTAATACACAGGTCAAGACCGCTCAGTGCTACTGAAATGTTAGCGGAGCATACCAGAAGTGCATCCGCAATAAAGCTAGTGGATGTTAATATAATTGGAATGGATAAAAAGCATTCCTGAGACGTACACATTTAAGCCGAGGATCCCATCATGCACAACATAGATCATATTATAGATATTTTGCTCTCGGATAATATGGGTGATATTAGAAGAGTATCCGATGCCTCGACCGAGCAAGACCGTTCCGTACACATCAATGAAGAAATTTGCTGTAGTCCCTATAAAGAGAATTAGCAGAACCACCTGCAAGCGCAGGTGCAAGGGAGAACTGTGTGCCCTTCGCCAAGTTATCAAGACACTGGAAAAGAATGCAAGCATATAAAGCGCTGATTTTATGAACGGTTAGCTTCTCTGGAATTAATCCAACATGTTACCGGATCCCTCACCGTATAAACCACCCTCAAACTATGAATTGATGTCAGGTTGAAAGGTATGGTCGTTGGACGAGAGGAATACGTACACATGTTGAGATAAGGGTAGGCCTTCTAATCTCGGGTGTTATAGTTGTCTCGGATTTTACCCACACAAGATCGGTGTGCACAGTAGACAGGTTCATCTCAGACTCGACCTCTGAGGGTGGTCTACCGGTTCAGGGATAAGAGTGCTCCAGCGCAGGGTCAGACCGCTATACCATGGTTATAAAAGAGAAGGGTATCAGCCAGTTTTAGGTATCAATCAATGTGGCACCCAGATGCCGAACAAGCAAGGCAGGGCCATCAAAGGACGTCTCGGTATACCGTTCTGCCAGCCAGTATAGCACTAGGTCGGTGGAAACAGGATAAATGCGTCCGATGTTTCTCCCAGTGGCTGCTTGCTGATGCCCTGAGGCTGCCGAACCATACATACTGATGTCCAGTATGTGGCCCAGCGTAATGCATGCCAATCATGTTTACACCAGCTGAACCAACGCTGAGGCGCTGCATGACCTACGTATCAGGTCCGTCAACATCAGTCTTCATCATCCTGTGACCCTAAAGCAAGAACGGATGAAGTATAAGTGGGTCGGCAGCCGGTTCTGCCTGGTACTCTCAGAAATGAACTCGTAGTCAGTGTTATCGCAATGCCAACAAGCTCTATCAGAAGTCTGCGCAGCGTCAGAAGGCATGATCATGATGCGACAAACTCACCTTAAATCATGGGGCGGCTGTCATCCACACCCGGTGTGAAGCGGTCGCAGGGTGATCTAGGGTTGCCACCCAGAAAGGAGGTTCTGTCTCCACACGCTCGTCCAGGATCATATAGTCGAGCATCGTACACAGCCTTCAATATCATGGGATGCACGTGAAAGCTGTGACGAATCATATGTAATCGCCTTCCCCGCGTCGGGCTGTAGACAGGGGAAGTCAGATGTCGAGCTCATTATTTGCATATATGCACTTCGTACCATTCAGTGATGGGCGGAAAGAGCACAAATTCCCCTAGAGGCCCGTTTCCTAGCCAAACAGGGTATTTATTTGATCTCAGAGGCAGAGTGGGGAGAACGACTGTTACCAAAGATGCCCTACACGATTAACTTCATCGGGTATTGCATTTAACTCCGCCGAGCAAGTCTCATGCTCTGCAAAGTCACGATTCACAGCCCTTATCGACATACGCTCAGAGTCCGGTAGATCGTCGCAGAACGCCGGGCAGGAAGTGTGAAATGACCTCAGCAGTCTCCACACTTTCAAAAATGGAGAGCTGCTTCTCTTGCCACCTGGAGAAGTGGTGAATCTTAAGTAAGAAGATGAATTCAGACTGGAATGAAGGCACGAAGGCACAAAAGTAGGCAATACAGTGAAGTGAACGCGCAGCACAGAGTTTGGGACAGGGGCTCCAAAGATCCAGAAAGTGAGCCTGAGCCTGAAAGTGACTGTCGAATGAATTCGAGTGCAGATTACTACTCTCGGGCACACCCTCGCTTTCCCTCAACTGGACCCAGCAACGCTTCCGCTTCCGCTGCAAGCTTCGTGATATCGTATTACAGATGGCCAATAAAGAGGTCACTTACGTTCAGCCTGGCTGCACTCTTGGGGGTTTATGCGGAGAAAGAGTTGGAAGTAGCAGGCGGTAGCAAAGATGTACCAGGTCCCAGGAGGACCGCGTTGATTTACGAGCAAACATATATCACAGGGCACAGACAGGAACATGGAGCGCCACGAAGGAGCACTCTGATCGCAGACAGAAAAGCGACTTTGTCACCCAGAACCGACTATAATCCAGTATGCGGGAGAATGACGGACAAACGACGGACGCAAGGCGAGTAAGGAGCAATTTCGAGACAAACCTGACAGGCTGAGCCCTAACCCTACTTCGTATGGATGTTTCGCGGCTAGACCCGAGAAGCGCCTAGTATCCCGACATTCAATTGCAAGTTCATTGCCACATCCATCCTAGGTCCGAACGGCTGGTGTGCAAATTATGCCGTAAGTGGTCACTAAGCACGGCAAAGCACGCCGACTAACAAGTCAAGGTGCCCTATAGAGCCAAACATCTGACAACCGGTTCAGGGGGAGCCAGTTAACGCCGCTCAACGACTCATCACACCTATCTTATTTTGGGGTAAGGGGCAGTTACAGTTATGGTCCCATTGGTCCGAGGGTAAATTTGCCCATCAGCACTGAGTGAGAATGGTATGTATATCTGCAATTATCAAATATTGGCGCGAAAACTAGACTCCATTGAATGACGTGCGACCTGTCGAGCTCTATATAACGTAGACCCTCGGACGAAAGCAGGCAAGAGCCCTGAAGCAGCAGACAGACTTGGACTTCTTCCGTGATGTCCGATGTACGCCCGAGCCGACAGTTCGCCGACTGGACGGCATGAGAGTTAGTCCATGCTGATCATTGAGTCCGTGAACATACGGGACGCCTGAACCTCTCTGCCATTGGAGCAGCCTGATTGTTGCATTTCTACCAACTGTGCGATCGATGGGATGAAGAGTCCTAGCCTGGCTGGGCGTGTAGAAACAGAAGCCACAATTATCATACATTCGGCCACATGCCACAAAGACATTTTACATTCAGCAATTGACTACTCTGTAAGAATTCCTTGAAAGAGACCTGTGCAAGTATACTATGCTTTTGTGGACTCAACTTGAGCCTTCCCTAAGATGCGTCATCTGTCATGAGAGACCTCGAACTGTTCTCTTTCCTCAGGCGATGTGTCGTTAGTCATCAGGAAAACCCTCCCAAGCTAATTAGACATAATGCATACCAGATTAGACATAATGCAGCTTACTATAATAACAGTCAATAAGATTGCATGATGTTGCATAATATTTGCATAAAGTTGCATGATAGTGTGGTTGTGATTCATATTTTCCATTGTCAGCAGTCCCACATCTCAACCACAGCTACATGAGGTTAGGGTTGTCTGTAGAATACAGACGGAAAAAGACTGAGACTGACACAGTAGCAATCGGGAATAAGATGACAAGCAGTGTGACCACGCTGTGACACAGTCCTCGAAATGCCACACCAGGGGCAATCGCGTTACCTGGGCATCACATAGTATATCTGTGCCATGTAAGTAAGCTACAACAGTGTGACAAAGGTATGTCTGTCTAAGAAAGGATTAACAAAGAAGGCAGGAGCTGAATCCAAGACGGTACTACTTGACCACTCCCGAGGAGCCACGGGACCCCACTTTGGGAAGAGATGTACACTGCGCTCGATCTGACAGACCGGAATGACACTGGCTAAACGCTCCCCATTCTGTATAGAACGTGAGACCTTATACATACCTGAATTTGCATCCGGAGTCATTGAAAATGCTGTAAACCACTCAACATATGCTAGGTGGCCTGGCGGCGGCTGCTTGAATAAAGTTGCAACTGCTCGAGGCGGTATGGAGAACACAACGCGGACCTGAGCAACGCGATAGCCTGAATACGACTCAATATGGTCCCCTTAAGATAGTTATGAATACCTGACTCACCTTGCAAGCCAATAGTCCCGCTCCCCAGATTTACAAGTACCGTGTCGAACCGAGGCGGAACTGCACGGTCGCGTGAGTCCTGACGTGCCGGTCGTACATGTACAGCATCCGCTGAATCTAGTAGCGACTTGCGCCCGAAGGGGTCTGTGTTCCAGAACTTGATCTTGTGATAGACGGGGATGGTTTGGAAGCGGATGGTCAGACTTGCCGCCGCATCCTCGAGTTGTGCCCGAGAAAGTTGAGGATTGTGATACTGCACAACAAATCTAGCGAGAGCAGCATTAAAGAACTCTGCACCATATTCAGAGCAAACAGTAGGTAACGAGACGGCTTTCAGGGTTGGATGACGTGCCATGCGAAGATGGTCGTGCAGTCCGACATCATCTTCTGCCTTCGCAGCTGGCGCTGGACAACCCGCCATACGCCAGAGGATGTACTTCTCATGGCGTAAAACTTTCTCGCGTCGCTCTAGCCATCTTGTCATTTGAGGATACTCGTCCTTATGGTTTGTAGCACGGTATGCATCTTTCGCGTAGTCGATGTGCAGGCGTTCAGTGTATTCTGTGTTGTAATTGTCCGTAGTCCCAAAGATCTTGATGGAAGCGAGGTAGTGGAGTAATGCGTGTAATTTTGGGATATTGAAATCGTTTCGGATACCAAGGTCCACAAATACAACTTTGTTCTCGTGAAATCGCTGTAGTGCACCTTCGAGGATTCTGAGGCTCTCGTCAGTGTGAACCGGATACTGTGCAAGATAGCAGAAATCCAAGAGAGCGCGGGTGGCGCGTACAAGGCGAATAGACGACAGACGATCGGGGAGGCGAATATCAATGACAAGGCCAAGCAGTAGTTGACACATCTGCGCATGCTCCCGGCCGGTGACCTTCGAAAGTGTACTGATACCCTTCATGAACAGCCGGACATGGTGATTTGGGGGGAAACGGCGACAGCGGGCGTCGATCTCCGCGGCACCACACATCTTCGTGACCCATGATATGAAATGTTTCATCATGCCCTGGTAGAGTTGATGCAAGATGTCAGGCGTGATGGATTGGAAAATATTCACGTAGGGGAGATCTTCCCAGAAGGGATGTTGAATCGGCTTAATCCCTGCCTCGGCGCACGCCTTCACGAATGCTGTAGGTCCCTCCGTAATATGTCCGAGGGCATCGAGCACGACATCCATGTCCCGAAATGCATAAGGATTATCGGGGTCGCATTCCCCCAGCTCATCATGTGGGACGGGACATCTTGGGCACTGGCCCGTTTTGACCCCCGTCACAAGAACCTGCTCTGGGTAGTCCCCAACAAAGGTTACAAACAATGGATGCACTCGTCGGTGCACTCCATCACCGCTCGCCATAATGAGACCTGTCTCACCAGCCTTCTTTAATGGATGCAGGATTCGACGAACGCATGAGTGGAAGAGGTTCGCAAGGGTCCGACGGCGGGCTGCACGATTGGTAATGTGACTGAGACGGGTCGTCGGAAGATAGCCGAGAAGTACATGACCGCCGCGCGACGGCTTCCGCCGTATTTCCTTTGGTAGATTTCCTATTGTCATGTACACCGGATACGCAGACTTGTTCCCAAAGAGAGTAACCTGTGTCTTGTCGGACGATATGATGACCGGCACGATAGTTCCTCCAGGTCGTTTATGTTCAAGCTCTTTCTGTCATGAGTGAAGGAGAATCATCTGATATTAGATACCCCAAAATACGTGGGTAGAAGTGCGGTCCACCGCTCACCTGCGTGGCCCACCACCACTTTCCCGTGTGCATATCTGAATACATTCGTACCGTCTTGTCCACATCAGCGTAATGTCGCTCCGGCGCAAAAATTAGGTCCGCAGCGAACTCCGGATCACCATACAGAGCGCGTATGCACTCTAATACATCACGGTGATAGATTTCAAATGCTTCTCCGGCGACGACTACTTCCTCTCGTTTGAACTTTGGGCGACCAGGTAAACTGTCAACTATTTTATTCAAGGAGTCAGAATCCTTATAGGATAACCCCAATGTCTCTCGGATCTAGAAGAGCATTCAGAAATGACGCCTGCGCAATCTTTAGAGTAAGTCTCACTCCTTCGATTTGCAACAACTCCGTCAGAGCTGTTGAACTCGGTCCTCTCAGTTTTGCCCATCGCGCCAAGTCCCAATCAAGCTTCGAGGCAAAAGGTGCCCATAAACTGGCTGAGGAACCGGCCATTGCATGCATATACTGATTATACGAGTTCACTGCTACCTCAGCGTCTTGTATAGGTGCGCCAGCATCACCATATCGGAACTTCTCAACGATCGGCTGCTTGCGGAGGGTCTCCTCGGCATTGGCTCTCCCCACTCGTTCTGTAGAATCCCCGGGGTCAGATGCAGCAGAGTCGGTATCCGCTTCGTCCCAGTCATCGGCATCTGGGCGTGGACAGGCAGGTACCTCGGGTTCCCACCTTATTTCATGGTCAATGTCATCTTCTTCTGACTCGTCTGACTCTGCCTGATCATCTCCAGATTCCTCCGAGTCGGGCAAGCCATGATCCTGGTCTATTGCTCCATCATCCACGTCCATATCCACCTCCGCAGGAAAGTCCTGGGCACCGTAGTGAGCGCCAAAGAAGTCTCCCGCGAACTTCGGCAGCCCTGCATCGTCCGCGGGCGTGACATTCTTCTTATCCTGGTGGTCCGGTCGATTGGTATTATGAGGTGTGGGGACATATGACTGATTTTGTTCGTATATGGCCTGACAAACGGGGTTGTGCGTGCGTTGCAGATGATGGGTGTACCCAGCAAGTGTGAATGATATGCTGCAACCAGAGCAGACGACCATAGTCCAATAATGAAAAGCGTACCAATACAACTAACAGCGCGAGTTCGCAACGCGACAAACATCACGTGTCGAGCGTTGCGGCACCAGCCGCTGCCCAGCCGGCAGGATGAGCTGCGACAGGCGGGACCCTACGCCCTGACTCAGCAGGCCAATGTAACGCCACCCGAAATTTTCGCCTCTCCATCCTCTCCATCTCCCTGGCTGCAGGGAGGGCAATCCTTGACGTACCCACGTTCTGCTAACTGTGACCGGTGGAATGTCAAAACACACATCAGGAAAATCGAGCAGCTCTGGTCTGACTCCCAGTCAGAAGGCGGCCCAGACCAGAGCCATCAACCGCAAGCGTCAAGAAGAACAAGATGCAAAAGAACTGAACAAGCCGACTGGTAAGTCTAATCTGTTCACTCAGAGACAGATGGACCGGCAGCAAACTCACTAATATCCCTCTAGTTCCTCGTGACGCTAAGAGAAAGGCTGCGGAAAATCGTGGTATGCGCGTTCTCTAGCAATGCGGACCTGTCTTCCAGACACTGATGTGAACATTGGTCGTAGTATGGGTGCAGAAGAAACAACCTTCCCAAGCCCCGGGTCGGAAACGTGCGGGGTCTGTGATGGCACCCGCAACAACGAACCGGACCAAAAAGACCAAGAAAGGTAACGATGGTCCGCCCAGTCCCCCGTCATTCCTATTTATACTATAGTACAGATGATCATACGTTGGACAAGCCTGAGACCGATGCAGCGGCTGCACGGACCCGCTGTGAGCGATAGTAATGACTTACACGTTCATTGTGTGACTTATTTACTGACAGCTTACAAACCGGCGGTCATCACATCTGATTCAGAAGAGTCAAATACCCCGTCCAACGCGGATGACAGCAACAGCAATGGGGAGGACTACGCTGAGCAGGAGGCAGAGATGATAGAGTCTGATGACGAGCGCCTTATGCGGATGCCTGCAGGTCCGCTTGCAGATGCCCTCGAGTATGAGGTGAGTAACAATCATCAGATGGTCATGCCACTGATTAGACGATGCTGGGTCTAGGCTCCGTCATTCAACGATGCCGCCGAATACCCCAGCGACGATGACTACGACATAGTCTTGCACGCACCGCCGAAGATGCGGCGTAAGTCAAGTGCCTCGTCTTTTAACTCAAGCACTGTCAGCATTCCGGATGTTGAAGACTCTGACGATGAGGCTCCATCGGCACCCCGACGCACCTCGATGCATTCGACTAAATCTTCCGCTCATTCAATTCGAACGTATGATAGCGTGGGTTCGGGTAAGGCACTGGTCCATGGGGCTCCCAAGGCGATTGATCTCTTTGAGGACGATGACCATGTTATCGGGGAGGGCCGTCAGAAGGCCAAAGGCGTCATTACCAAGGTAAGTCCTTCAGACCTCCCGCATTCCACTCCCTAATTCCGAAAGTCATGTTCTGAAGGGCGGAGACAAGAATTCAAGTTCTGCGCTATCTAGTCAGACAGCATACACGGTCGAGGGTAAGCTCCACAAGAAAGTGAAGTCAAAGCGTGAGCAGGATCACGAGCAGGAGGTGCGCCAATCTTGTTACATAGTAACTCCCCCAATATTCTCATCCCAGCATTGAGGCACCCATCTGGCCTCGACATCATGAAGACGTTGACCAGAAGAAGTTAAGGCTTGCTCATCGTAAGGGCCTTAAGGCGGTTACTCATCGCCCTGGAGCCCGTGACGACGATGACATTATCCTGGTCGCCTCGGATGACGCCGACAATTCATATGACATGACAGTGCTGATCTACAATGAGCGTGGTAAGCTCAATCTTACATCGCAGACACAGGAGATCCAGGCCGTTGCACGCAGAGGCATTGACTACATACACGTTCAAATTTTCACGAAGCACGCCTACCCCGATTCCGGCAAACGGAATGAAGTAGCACTCGACGCCTGTGCAAGTGCAGCTGAGGACTTAGGGCCTCACTACAAGCCAATACTGGACCTCCTGCGGGACAAGACACAAGTAGAGTTTCGTAAAGCCGTTGCTGATATTGTGCGTAACTGTCATTCCATCTTACAGTACTAACGGTATTTCCGACAGGCTGACGGCCGGATCAGTACCATACGCCGTGACGTCAAGAGTATTGCGTCTGGACATTGTGTCGGACACTACGGGCTCAGGCAAGATAGTGCCACATACGTCAAAAATCTCCTGCAGGCTCAGCGGTACATCTTTGAGGGAGATCACCGGGTATGTTGTCCCACTTCTCCGTCTTCTGGTGCTTACCCTTTCGATTCAGGAAGGACGTGTGAACTACAAGCTTCCCTGGCGTCAGGGGGCTATTGTAGCTATCCTGCGGCAGGCGTTCTTCACCGGGAAGAATAACTTCGCGCTTCGCCACCCATCGTTGTTCACATCAAGTCTCAAGGACCGTGAAGACGAGCTGGAGGCTCCGCTTGGGATGGTGGCCTTTGTCTGTACTGCGGTGAGTCGATCCTCTGATTGTACTGTTGCGGCCCTCATATCTATCACAGATACATGCAACCATCGACGAATGGTCGAGTGGTGTCCTTGTGCCCGAGGATTTCTCAGGAAGTGGCTGGGCCGCTACATACGATATTCATGTCGGGATGCTCGAAGATGTCCGTGATACGCAGCCGCGACGGTATCACGATCATATGCACTATCTTTATAAACAGGCAACGTGAGTTCCGCCTGTGACCCCCAGGCTAATGATACTGATGTCGCTGTCACAGCATGTCTACTCGCAATGCCGCTTCCATTGATACGAAACAGCCCAATGCGCTGTCACTGATGGACCTCTCAGAGCTAGACTAAATATATAGACATATGGTTGTAGATTAAAGCATGTCCTTATTACAAGCAATAATGTTCTTATAATCCGTCTATATGCGTGCTAATTATCCCTTGACCGAACTGATCGACACATAATGGTGATTATTAGACGAGGGACAAACGTAAATTGTCTAATTATGTATAATGGTATAATTCGTCTAATTAGACATAATTGTGTGTCCTTATGCACAATTATGTCTAATTAGCTGGGGAGGATTTCCCTGATGTATATCCGGTTTACTCTCACTGCCGTCGGGCGCCCCCAAATCATGGAGCGCGATGTTGATCGTAGGTACGAAATCTTCCAGCCGCATATTCCTCGGTACGTTGGGTAATGTCACAAAGCGAATGCCGGTCTCAGGGATCGCTTCGTCCGACCCATGCGTTGTGAGCTCCGCGCTTTTGCCCAGCGCGACGAGTAAAATGATAATTCAGGGAAGAACACCCTGTAGCGTCATTAGATTATGCTATTACCCAGTGAAGAAGAGTACGCGACGTACCACGCAGATCCTGAGGGTCGCACCTGCTATATACTGCGTTTTTTTATCAGAGCTTTGCTTTAAAGCTATAGCATGTGATTCATACCCTTAGAAGTTTGTTGGTTGGGATGATAGTTAACAGAATAATCACAGAATACATTGTTCCAGATTCCAGCCTGAGTGGCCCCAATGTGAGCCTTCCTACGCGACGAAGGTCGGAGAGAGAGCACGAAAATACTCACATAGTGTGGGCAATGCGAGAGTACTTAGATATACGATGACCGCCAGGCCTACTCCCGACTGTACGGAGCGTTGACCAGATCTTCCAGGCTATGATGCGATAAGAAGAGCAACATTAGTACAGGCCGACTGCTTACCTATGGCAACACTCAGCAGTATATAATCGCAAAAGTGGAGACGTATTAATCCTTGTTGAAAATAGCGACCTTATCCGATGCCTCATACCACGAGGGTGGAAGTGAGTCCGACCACGGCGTATCTCGCCGAAGTTCATATATGCGAACCTGGAAGATAATGACGGTCACACCCAAAGCTATCTCATGGTCAGAGATGAAGGTACTTATATCGGCGTCGGAGTTTCATTGCTTACAGATTTCGAGAGCAATAAGAAAAATAAGGAGAAAAGTCACCGCAAATACGCCGTTCCAGAATACATAGTAGCGCCAAACCTAAATTTCAGTGCCGTTATTAGTTCAGTCACACTAGCCTTTCGAGTCTCATACCAGCCTGAGGGGCACATCCGCAATAAACGTGCGTGAGGTCCCGGTTCAGTCCGATGATGGATATGTGGAAATAGAGTGAACTCACAAATTCAAACCCAAGATCCCGTCCCTTACGCAAAACAAAAGGTTTGACATGTTCTCTTCGTAGAGCACACGAGGGGGATCCTGATAGTACGTCTGGGGTTGAAGTATCCACATGCGCGACGCGGAAATGTCCAGGATGAGGTTTGCAGTCGTGCCAGCAACAAAACGGCAATAACGACATGTAGGCGAGCGTAGAGGGTTGAATAGCGCGCCTTTCGGCATATTATAATGAAACCAGTGATGAAAGTGAGCAGGTATAATACTGTGGACAGGACCGTGTTAGTTTGAGCAGTGATTCCGCCAGCCAATCCGGCAGAGTACCGCACCGTATAGACCACCTTCGTACTGGCTTCGAAGTTAACCTTATGAGTGTTACTATGGAAAGATAGATAAGTACGCAAATGCTAATCAAAGTGAGCTTCGAAGTGCTGTAAGCGACTATCAGGGAGCATTGTGAATGAGAGCGCACCTGTTGTACTGGGATGTCTGCCATGACACGTCAGTGGTGCTCATGGGAATAGCGTCACGGGCGGGTTAGGTACTTTCCTCGCAAAAGGGCTCCTGAAACATGTTATATCACGCTCGACCACAAATATAACAGTTGATCTGCGGTCGCCGTGTAAATGGAGTGTTGAAGGAGTTATCAGGATCATCGGTACTCCAGGTCATCACACAAAGACACAACAATAAGTGGCTGCCCTATATCAGTTCCATGGGTGTGTGTTGCAAAGGTAAGATTCGAGGAAACTTGAAAGACGGATCAATGGGATAAGCCACTCAACGATATCTCCGGATCTTCCTCCCAAGGCGTAATTGTTCTATTTGACAGCGCCATCCAAAAGCTCTTCCATGCTATAGAGCTGCTTTAAACGATCCAGGGAGCCTGTGTTCCCAATGATGCGACGCCATCACCGCACCCTGTCGATGTTTTCATCTGAGGACGGGCCCGTTGCCTGCGTCTGGAAATCAACATCTGTAAGAATATAAAACATCTGTGATATGAAAGGTGTGGGAGGGATAGGGTCTCGTAAGTCCGTTCCGAGAGAGGTCGAGGCATGAGTATAAGACTGAAGCACATATCAATCATTGATTGCGTGAGGCACTGCCTCTTATGAGTCCTTAGTTCGCAATGAAATGATGTCTTCAGTATCTTGGTCATCTGCGCAGACTGATAGGCCCGTGACCAGCCTGTCGTACCAACATTGAGGGCAAAATATTGGTCAGGCTTAAGGATCTGCGGTTTCCCGATGAGGATGGGAGTAAGTCGGAGGCAGTGACAAGGTTTCTAACAAAAGACAGTAGCTCAAGATACCGGAGACGCATGTTGGGGACGCTGGGGCGGATGGCGAGACTGACTCATATGATATACTCGAGGTTTTCCGTGCAGTGGGTTTATACACGAATTGTCCAATAATATCAAACGTATACACCATTGGGCGTTGTTGCAGTCGCAAACCATTGCGGCGTCGGACGAGGGTCCCACACGTGCCGCACCATTCCTGTGTCAACTACAGTCCTATGCTTCCTCGAATACTGTACCACCCGAGTCCTTCTCTCTATCTTTGGGACACATTGTTCCTGCTCTATCATCAGTGTCTCCGTCCAGAGTCGAGTTGTCCAGTACAACGTTGATCACGTCAATAGCACCGCTCTGCTGCGTACTCGTTTCGGAGCTAGGTCCTGAACTCAAGCGGATAGCAGCCACAGCGGTCATGCCCGTGTGTCCGCGCGACAGGTTTTCCACGGGTTTCCCAAGTGTCAGTAGGATAATTTACGGTTGTTGGAACCAGTCCCTGAAACATAGTTAATGTCATATTTGATTTTTCCTGCTGGAATACAAGGAGACCTACAATACTGATAAAGAGAGCCGCACTGGAAAGGGTCTGAGATGGTGTCGGTCAGCAAGTGAAATATCTCGCATCAACTGACAACAACCTCTTACTTGTAGGATTCCGCCGGCCGGTACCATTGCAAGGAGTATGATCATGGAATATATTATTCCAGAATATTCCAGACTGAGGATGCGAGATTTCAGGAAGTTGAAGTATGTCAAGTAAGAAACTCACATAATATGCACTATGCGAAAATACTTGGGTAGTGGGGTGGAGCGTCCTTCCTCAATTGGACGTGACATACGCCATATTGTCCATGCTAAGATGCCGTTAGCATGGCGATAGCTGGTCCAAATCATGCACTCACAGATAGCAATACTTAGAATTACGTTGATAGCAAATGTCGACAAGTAATATGCCTTGTTCAAGACAGAGAGTGTAGACGAGCTTGTGCCACTCTGCAGGCACAGGATCTGACACGGGGGTATCCCGCTGAATGAGGTACTTGCGAGCCTGGAAAACAATAACTGTGATACCAAGAGCTGCGATATTGGTCATGAATGTACGTGTCTAGGTCAAGGAAAGGATTTCGCGCTCACCTATCTCTACGACCAGCAGGATGATAGGAATTCGGATTGCCAAAAATAGCTTCCCATTACAGAAAATGTAGTGGCGCCAAAGTTTTGGTTCAATGCAGAGGTCAAGACTGCCTAGTACCACTGAAATAGGAGCGTACATCCGCAATAAAGCTAGCTGATGTCAACGTGTTCGGAATGGATAAATCAATGTTCCTGAGGCGTACACATTTAAGCCCAGGATCCCATCATGCACAACATAGATCATGTTGTAGATATTTTGTTGTCGGATAGTATGGGTGACATTAGAAGAATGTCCGATAACCAACCGAGCAAGACCGTCCCATACACATCGATGACAAAATTTGCTGTTGTCCCTATATATAAGATGATGAGAACCACCTGCAAGCGCAGGTGCAAGCGAGAACTGTGCGCCCTTCGCCAAGCTATCATAACACTGGAAAAGAATGCGAGCGTATAAAGCAGGGATATTTCGGGCAGTCAGCTTCCCCGGCCTTAATCCTACACTACCGGATACCTTACCGTATAGACCGCCCTCACACTATGAACCGGCGTCAGGTTGAAAGGTATGGTCTTTGGATGGGAGAAACGACATACCCATGCTGAGATAAGGGTTGGCCTTCTAACCTGGGGTGTTATAGTTGTCTCGGATTTTACCCACACAAGATCGGCGTGCACAGTAGACAGGTTCATCTGACTCCGCCTCTGAGGGGTGTGTGTGGGTGGGGGGGGGGGGGTAACGGGACGTTGAGAGTTAGCCAGAGCACAGTGAGACTGCAATATCATGGTTATACAAGAGAATTGTATCAACCAGTTTTAGATATCGATGTGGCGCCCAGATACTACACAAGCAAGCGGTTCCCCGCTCTCTGAGACAGTATAGCACTAGATGCCTCTGTTTGCTAACATACTGAGGCTGCCGAATCGTAGGCATCGAAGACCAGTATATGGCCGAGCCTATGCCGTGCCTAATCGTGTTTACACCGGCTGAATCAACGTCTGACAGACTGCATGACCTGAACAGCCGATTCCATCTGGCATTATCGGAAACGAAATCGTATCCAGCATTATTGCAACGTCAGCAAGATCTACAAGGTATCTTCCTAGAGTCAGAGGGCATGATCATGAGGCATGGAGCTCACCTTAAATCATGGGGCAGTTGACATTCGTGCCAGGTGAGAAGCGGTCGCAGGGTGATCCAGGGTTGCCGCCCACAAAGGAGGTTCTGTATCTGCACGCAGGTCCAGGATGATATTGTCGAGCATCGTACACAGCCTTGAATATCATGGCATGTCAGTGATTGCTGTGACGAATGATATATAATCGCCTTCCCCGAGTCGGGCTGTAAAGAGGGGAATTCAGATGTCGAGCTCAATGCTCTCGGCATCTAGGAAATTTGTGCTATTCAGTGCCGGGCGGAAAGAGCACAAATTCCCCCAAATGCCCGTTCTGAAGCCAAACTGTCGCCCTCGCTTTCACTCCGCTATAACCCAGCAGCGCTTCCGCTTCCGCTGCACGCTTCGTGACATCTTACTAAAGATATCTATCTTTAGATCACATACGTGCAACTAATAGACGTTAGCAAAGATTCGCTAGGTCTCAGGAGGAACACGTTGATATACGAGCAAACGGATATCACAGGGCACAGACAGGAACATGGAGCGTAATGTAGTGTAGAAGCATCCTGGTCGCAGACAGAAGGAAGACGTCATCATCCAGCACTGGCTATAATGCAGCATGCCGGAGAATAACGGACAAACGATGACAGAAGGCGAGCAAGGAGTGATTCCGAGACTAACCTGACAGCCTGATCCCTAACCCTAATTCGTGTGTCTGCGGCTGGACCCGTATTCCGACATTCATTGCCACATCCATCCTAGGCTAGTACGCAAATTATACCGTGAACGGTCTCGAGCCTCGCCAAAGCACGCCGAGTAGCAAGTCAAGATATCCTACCAGTATAGAGCCAAGCATCTGACAACGTCTTCACTGGCGGGGGCAGCCAGTTAGCCCCGCTCAACGGCCCATTGGACCAGGACGACACACATACATATCATAAAGGTATACTGGAACTCACCTAACATCAGGCACCAGGCTGATGGGCTAGAGACTGACCGTGGACTGCTGCGAGGTGTCTCCGTTGTCTCCATCTGGAGAAGGCATCTCCATCCCGGAGCCGTGGAGAAGTTGTCTCCGCCCGGAGAATCCCGATGCAGAAGACATCTCACATTGAACAAATAACTACTCTCTAATAACGGCCACGGAGGAGCCCGAGGCAGCAGATACCGCCAGTGCGAACTCTCCTTGAGCCTTCCCTATCATGCGTCTTGGGTCGTTAGAGATCTTGAACTCTTCTCTTTGCTCAGACAACCTGTCTCTATATCCACTTTACTCCCACTGTTGTCGGGCGCCCCCAAATCACCGAGCACGACGCTGATCGTAGCTACGGAACCTTCCTGATGCGTATTCCCCGGTACGGTCCCAAAACGAATGGCGGTCTGGGGGATCACTTCGTCCGTCCCATGCGTTGTGAATTCACTGCTTTTACCCACGGTGACCAGGAGGATGACGACGCTTGGAACAAGAGCCTGAAGTATCATGGAATGAGGACAATACTAAGTGACAACGAGTACAGGTCGTACCACGCAGATCATGAGGGTTACGCCAGCGATGTCCTATATTTCTGTCAGAGTTTGCCTTGCATTGATACCATGAAGGGTCTTACCCTTAGAAGTGCATTATTTGGCATTATGGCCAACAAGATGATTATGGAATATATGATTCCGGATTCCAAGCTGAGCGCTCTGAATGAGGATCTGCTACGCAATGGAGGTCGGGGGCAGAGATAGAGACACTCACATGGTGTGGGAAATGCGGGAATATTTGGGTATCCGATGACCACCCGTCACGACCGAACGGAGCATCGACCAGATCTTCCAGGCTATGATACTGTAAGAAGAGCAATATCATTACAGTGGAACCGCTTACCTATGGCAACGCTCAGGAGTATATTAACTGCGAACGTCGAGGCGTAGTAAGCCTTGTTCAAGACAGCGACCTTATCTAATGCGACATAAAGTGCGGGTGGACGTGGTGCCAACCACGCCACATCTCGCTGAATTCCGTATATCCGAACCTGAAATATAATAACAGCGATTCCAAGAGCTATTCCATGGTCGGATAAGAACATACACCGAGGGGAAGATGTTTCATGACTTACAAACTTCGACAGTAAGGAGAAAAAGAGGGAACAGAATCACTGCAAGTGCATCGTTCCAGAATACATAGTAGCGCCAAACCTGTTTTGAGTGAGGATCGTGGTTAGCTCAGCCATAGCAGTTTAGCTGGACTCGGAGTAGCAAGATCCGCACCAGCAGCGCGTCCGCGATAAACCTACATAAGATCTCGGTTCAGTTTAACGGCGATAGATGGGAACGTGTTAAACGCACAGATTGAGACCGAAGATCCCATCCCTTATGCAGTACAAGAGATTGTAAACGTTCTCTACGTGGAGCAACTGAGGAGTGTCATGATTGAAAACCGGGGAAAGGTAATAAATGTTCGCGGTATAAATGTCCAGGATGAGGTTGGCAGTCGTCCCAGCAAATAGGACTGAAATGACGATCTGCAACCGAGCATGGAGGGTCGAATAGCGTGCCTTCCGGCAGGTGAAAACAGAGCTGGCGATGAAAACGGGTAGGTATAATACTGATGAACGCGTCCGTGTTGGTTTTGATAGGCACTATGACAGTAGAATACCGTACCGTATAAGCTGCCTTCGTACTGCCCCCGAACTTAGCGTGCTACTAGAGCAAAAGTACAGATACGTACTGCAGTCGTAATCAAGGTGGCCTTAGGAGACGTATGAGCGACTATCAAGGAGGATTTACATAAAACGCGCACCTTTTGCACTGAGATATCGGCCATGACACCTTAGCAGGACTTGCGGGGAATTGCACGTTCCAGACGGTTTGCCCACTTGTCTCGCAGTAGGACGCCGGAAGGATTTTATACAGCTGTCATGCATGGAGATAGCATCCACATCTGCAGTGTTCGCGCAACATTACATTCGGGGGCTATGAAGATCAATGATACTTCAGTGCATCGCGAAGGGAGGTTACAAACAATGCATTGAACCCATACGGACCGCTGGGGAAGGATCAATAAACTGTTTGAATGATTCCGATCTATCCCCTTCCACCGGCTTCACTATTTTCGACTTCAAGAAAAGATAACGGGCGGATGGTATCCATATCAGAACCTGGGTGCTACAGTACATTGCGAGACGCAGGAAGTAGCTGGATCTGATTTGGATGTCTGAGAGACAGATTCCCTGATACTAATAGCGAGAAGTTCAGCACGTGGGAAGATGATCCTTCGGCAAGCTGTAATTGTCGACGCGAAGGCACTCAACTGGCCTCCTGGCGCGTCCTGCCATGGATACTCCTGCCGAGTCCGTCATACCCCTTGCTATTCGGTTCGTACCCTACGACCAGTGGTTTGTCACCCATGTCTCGACGTCCTGGAAGACAAAGGAGGTCAAGCAGTACATCCTATCCAAATGTCTGCCCTACTCGTCCTATGTCCGCTCGCAAGCGCCTGAGCCACCTCAACCGCGCTCGCTGAGTCCTATCACTTTTGCATCTGCGTCTGCCAGCCGGTCGCGAAGGAGTTTGGATCAACGATCGACGAGGAGCGCCAGTGTAGCGGGAGACGAGGACGGGGACGGGGACGGGTCGAACGACGAGGAGGATGACGAAGATGCAGACGACGTCTTTCCCGTAGAGCACGGTCAAGCTACGCGTCTGAATCGAGACCACTATCACAGCACCGCCTATGCCACTACTCGCCAGCCGGTCCCCGATGCTTCCACTTCTACCGCAAAGTCCACACGCCAATCGCGGTCGGACGCCCGCTCGGTATATCACCACTCTCATTTCAGCCTTCTTAGCTTCTCGACTTTTCATCTCCTCGAGAATGACTATACGATATCCTGGTACCGCTTGCGTCCTTACGAACTGCTCGAGATGCACCTTTCAGGTGCTATAGTTCGATTGCAGCGAGATCAGCTCCTAAAGTACGTAGAGCCCTACTTTGAATGCAAAGTCAAGGCGCTACGGGTGGTATACAAAGAACGCAAGCACGAGTCGGACAAGGATCGTGAGAAGGACAAAGGTAAAGACGAGGTATGTGGCACGCTCGGGCTCTTACCTCCGCTGACCTCGGTGGAAGAGCAAACAAGCCAGCAGCCAGACTTCCTCGTCATCCAGCAGTCGGCTTCGCAGCACGCACTCTGACCCTTCAGCCGTGCTACCTATCAGGAAGAGCAAGATCGAATGGAGAGAAAAATGGATCAACGTTCGGCACGGCGTTCTAAGATTATGCAAAGACCGAGCCGTGCGTGCCCTTTCTTGTATTCTACTGCAGAGCTCACTCCGGTCGTGCAGGACACGTCTTCCTCGCAGACGTTTCCCCTGGCCGCCCTTCGAAATATCCGTGGATCTGAACACCTGCAGAACGCCTCCTCCTCCATCCCTCATCAATCTACCGAGACCATCATTTGCGCCAAATTCAAGAATGTGGCCGCTCATTCTTACCCTGCGCACTCGTACTCGGCAAGCTCGGTTGCAGGGGGTGCGATAAGGTCCGCACCTCCCCTCGGAGGCGGTGGAGGCCTCTACAACGACGAATACGGGAGGCGTGGAAGTGTGCCCGGACCTGGAGGACTCGGGAGAGCTGGGCGGAGGGAGCATGAACACGGTGACATCGCAGAGGAGGGAGACGACAGGCGGCATGACAAAGGCGCAGAGGGGGCGTGGATCGTTCTAGACATGCTCGACGAATATGGCAAGTGTCTGACGTATCAAGGTGCACTGTAACTCACCAAACTTTGAATGCAGCATTCACTTCGTTGCTGCGGATACTGCATCGCGGCGCCCCGCGCTCGGTGTCTTCGTCCTTCGTACCCAACATGTCTACCTCCTCAGGAGAAGCTACGGCTCGGCCGTCCTCGCGGGCAGACCAGCACCGCACTGTCCCTTCCCTGGGCCCATTGAACATCCCGGCCGGCTGCGTGCCCTACCCCGAATGGCGCATCGATCTCGTCACGCGAGCACGGCGCGTTGGTATGGGCGATATCGGCCCGGTCCTGGAGTGGGTGTTGCTCGGCGACCGGGTCGACGCGAAGGGGAAGGCGAAGGAAGCGGAAGACTGGCGCCGCAGCGGGAGCTGGAGCGTCGACGGCAGCGTCGATGTAGATGCGGCAGAAGACGACGACGAAGACAGCGAGAAAGAGTGGGAGGGGTGGATGGGAGACTTGGAGCGGCAGCGCCGGGAGCGCGGTGCGCCCCGCTATACGAGCGGTGGGGATTCGGACGCGGCTGCGTCGGCGCTGCGCACGGCGTCCGCGAGCTCTGCGTCGTCACCGTCGAATACGCTACGAGGTGCCCCGCCGACAAGGGTCTTCTCGCCCCCGCCGTCGTCATTTGCGTCGGGTGCGCATTCGGGCATAGGTGCTCCGTTTGCTGACGCGTCGGTGCGACCCGCTATGAGGATGGCCAATACTCGGACGACGACGACGAGTACGGTGTCCGTGGGCGGACGGGTGCGGAGTACCACTGTCAGCGTTGGTACTGGCGCCGCTAAAGGCAAGAGCGCGGTGCACTCGCCGCAGGCGTCGCGGGACAGGAGGGGCCAGGGACTCAAATTGGCCTTGCCCTTCTCCGGCTTCGGCGGACGTGAGCAGGACCCGGTGCGGTACGAATTCGCGCCGAACACTGATGACGATGATACCCCTAGTGCGCTCAGGCACGCTACCTCATTGGAGAACATGCGCGTGCCGGAGCAGGGATGGGAGCTGCCTAGCATCAGCCGCGTTGTTCACTCCGCGGTGTCATCGCCCGCCGTGGAGAATGGGATCCCGTTGCACGGTCATGGTATCGTGAAGACGAGTATACAAGCTGGCCCGTCCGAGGGAAGGGTCAAGAAGAAGAGCGGTTTGGGTTTGGTACGAGGGATGTCAGTCAGGGCGGGTGCGGAGAGGCTGGTGCGTGGCTTGGATTCGGCGCTGGATTTCGTGGAGGGGAAGTAAGGTGCTGTGGATACGTCTTATTATTTGTCTTAGGGTTATTCGCTATTTATTATTTGGTGGATGTAGGCGTGTTGGTACTTCTAGGAATGTACAACGTGTAGGTTCGTTATCCTCAGAGTCTACGAGATTGACTGAGAGTCATTCAGAGCAGAAGTGTAATGGAGGAGCTCCGGTGCTGTCCCTACCATCGGCAGCGATGTGACGACGGATCAGGGGAACATGACATCTGCTCTCGCACTTGTCATGATTCTTCATTCCATTATCTCTTCTCACAATCCATATCCAGATATCAGAGTGAGATGGACCACGGTATTCAAAGCTTCTCTCGTTGATCATTCACCGGTGCTCGGCATCTACACCAACTTATTTGTGCGTGCGGGCGTGGACAGAGACTCCCCTCCCACGGGGTGACAGATCATCCAATCACCAACTTCTGTTTTCTCGCACGATTCCTGTCAAAATATGCGGGTGCTCATTTGCCGGTATGTATATCGGACCGTGATTTGAACTTCGTTGACCTATCTTTTCCCTATAGCATTCTAGTCTCACGAACCAGGACCTGCTCCTCACTCAGTTCTTCGGGAGCGTCGCGTACATGAGATGGTCCCTCCGTTGAACAGCTGACGTCCGCTACTCGCTACCTGGAATATGTGATACTCTCGCTCACCGAGAATTGTATCACCACCGCATCCGTGGATGCTTTCTCCGCTTTCGAGCGGACCCACGATGGTCCATGGATGGAAGCGGTGCTTCATGGTGCTATTTTCTACGGCAGCCGTTTCAAGATGACACTCACAATGCGTAGAAGACGGTTACCTGTATCCTCTGTTGGCGAATCTTTGGCTGAACGGTCTGGACATTCACCACTATGAGCAAGAAATACTAAGTCATTTTGTGGCAACCGTTCGGATATCGCTTCAAGGTTACTGGTGCATTACCCAACTTGTGGGTATGTTATTCACGAAGACTGCGCTCGCTTTGGCTAACTTCGACTTGCAGAGTATATGTGGAATTCCTGTGCTACCCAGACGATGGCGGATCATATCCCTAGCATCGGCCTCAGCCCTTCGCGACAATCACTTACGTCTTTTTGTCCCGGTGCCTGACTAGTGGCTTCAGAGCCGCATCATTCTCCGCTCAAATTTCCTTTGCTGGCCATTCCAGTCACCCTATTCAGCAGGACAACAGCGAACTTGGACGGTTTCACCAATGACGTGACACTGGCGTCTGGGGCATTCCAACGTGGCGTGTGATGGGGATTATTCGTCACTATGGATGAACCTACCGCAGATGAAGAATCTAGTCATTATTCTGTTATCAGCGAAATTGCTTACTACGCAGAGATAATCCGACAGAATGACCGACTTCATTTTGTTAACGAGGCAAATCGCGGCATATTCATCTTTGGCCTGACATCGATGCATCACGCAAGCATCCGCAGGATGGACGTGGGAATTCTAGTTTTACCGGGCGTAGGAAGATTCATCGACATGCCAATCTCACGATACTTACAAGGACAAAGATAGTTGCCATGGAACAAAGGTCAACCTGCAATCCGTTCTTCCTTCATTCTCTTTTCGACTGACGGATGGGACCGAAGTAGTGATCAGCATCTATAGATAATCGCTAATTTAGTTACCTGCGGCTACCCCCATCGCCACAGTATGACGATCATGCGCACGGACTCCGATATCGCTCTGTATATGCGTCGTTCAATCGAGTTGTGATGATGATATCGACGCACTTCGCTGGTTACTTCTCCAGACGTCGCACCAACTGTCCACCTCGATACCCTGTCTCGCATAGACCCTTCGTGTCTTGGTTAGGTGTCCAACTTCGCCTCAGTCCCATTGATGAAGGTGATGCGATACCTCTTCATCGAATAGATTCCGAGAAGAAGTCGAGCTATCAATGACAGTGTGCACTCCACTAGCCTTTCGCTGTTCAGCCCTCCCTACCCCAAGCTTGGGACCGCCCCAGCATGGATCTTCCGGAATATGGATCTATTTGACCAATGTTGCAATCAAACAGTCTCCTTCAGGCGATGCGGTGCAGAATATCTGCTACAGGTGTTTTCACCACAGGGTCTGACCTTGGGTCTGACAGGAGGTTCTGATGGTCTGAGTGCCAGTGTCTGGTGCAATCTGATTGGTCGAGCAACTTGAACGTCTGACGCGTCTGACCTCAGCTCGTCAGACACCGTCAGGGTCTTCAAGTTCTTGCAGTTATGTTTGCTGATGCTAACCAACTGACCGGCATATGGTGCGGGTATGGGTATCTTCTAGTTCATCAGGAAGAACACCGGCATCAAAGGCCTGTATTGGACTGGGTATTACACCGAGGATTCCGGAACTGTTTAACGTCGTTTCTCATGATATTCGATCCCGACGGGGCTGATGCAAATCTGCAAGTGGTCCCGGAACCCGCCGATGTTGTGTCTGACAAGGATTAAGCAGCTTCTTGAGAAAGACGGGCATCGTATATGGGAGTAAGTATATATATGGTTGATCCTCTTTAGCGCGTGGCGAACAAACACTCGTGCTTGTATGTAACTGACTACTTGTTATTGTATGTACACTCGTGCTGGTCGCGCTATCGTTGCATCTCCCTCGTGGAGAGATATTTACGTAACAGCTGATGGGCTCCGAGCCTGAGGTTCACGCCGTTGTGCACGTTCTGAACCGGCATGTCAAGCACCACCGAGAGTAGAAAGAAAGTACGATGGAGTAGTACGGTCAAGGTCGGTAACAGTGTTTCCATCATGGCTTGGATTTCTTAATTGACAACCTTAACCATAGCCCTCGCCCGAGGAGGTCGAAGCCGAAAGGAAACGCTCCCGTGAAGTGGCCATCGAAGCACTCGAAGCGACACCGAGACCTAGCTGGGTGTGTTATGATATGGTGTACGGATATCCCGTGACGAGTGAATGGGTTGAGAAGGCTGCAAAAGAGAAAGGCGTGAAGACGGATGATTTCAGGCGTTGTGCGGACTGCGTCCTGACTATATTGCGGAGAAAGTCTCGCATCAATGAGCTTGAACTCTGCGCTCCGAAGATGTATGCAACGCCCCCGGACTTTGACAATTGGCTTATCACCTTCGGCGCTGACCACCACCTCCAACAACAGGGGCGGTGGCCCACGCTTGCTCAAATCGAGAAGGTACGGAAGTTGATCCGCGGAGAAGGGAGGCCTATCTGGGTACCTGTGGCTGGGGGCTGGATTAGCATATGAACGCTCGATGTTAGTATTAATATGATCCATTGTGAAGTCTTTCATATAGTGATGTGTGTATCATGCAATTTTGGCACCGTGACTGGGAGGCCATGGCCGAACGCGACTTTGTGTCCCAAATGCGGACGCCATATCAAGATCGCACGTTCAGGTAAGGTTAGGGCTTATCAGGAGACGCACACCCCTCATCCTATCGCCTCCTCATCGACGTTTTGCCACAAGAACTATCATTACAACACGGATATTTATACACTTTGTGTTGAAATTACAAAGGCCCACTGTTCTCCTCTCGCCCCCCAACCCACCACAACGCTCACTTCTCCTTCTGCCCAGCAACCACCCCGACGTTACTAAAATCCCCCAACGCGCTCTCCGCATTCCTATCCGTCCCCGGCGTGCGCTTCTGCTTTTCCGCGCCGACCGTCACGCTCCCCTTCTGGGCGCGCGTCTCGCCGAAGCGGCTCCCCGCCAGCTTCGCCTGCTCGTACTCCGCGGGCCCGCCCGTGTCAAGACCAAGGTGGGCGTCCTTTTGCTTCTGCGTGCGCCCCGCGGTGTGCGGGTCTGTGCGGCCGGAGGGGAGGGAGGCCCGGAGGGCAAGGGAGAAGGTGCGCTTGCCTTCCTATTGGAGGGGACGGGGGGAGGACGTCGCGGCTTGCGTAGTATGTCTGAGAGCGGAGGTCAAAGAGGGACGGGATGAGCTTCAGGGGTAGTTGTCGTGCCTTCTCAGTGGGCAGAGGCGGTACTCCCCGGCGAAGGTGAGCCCCTTACGTCGTCAGGCATGTACTTCGACCCGCCGTTCGCGCAGGCGGTCGCCTCGCCGACCTGCTCGACGAAGCCGACGCCCCCCCTGTTGCCCCCGCCGCTCCCGAAGCTGCGCGGCCTGTACTGCGGCGCAGGCGACGCCGCGTCCAGGTGGTGGTCGTTCGCCGCGTTGCGCGCGGAGAGCCCCACCGCGATGTGGACGCTCTGCACGGACTGCGGCGCGTGGTTTTGAGACGCAGGGGCGTGCCCCTTTGCAAGACATTGTCGGGATATTGCCTGCGTGTCTTCACCTCCCCGTCATTTGATGTTATTGTCCTTGTGAACACCTTCTGAGGGTTAATATTAACCCTGTGTTTATGATTTGCAGCGACAATCATCCGCCGCATTGCCGTGTCCCATGGACCATACCAAGGAGCCTCCAATCGTTCTTTCATTGTATCTCGTACAAGCCGAGGGAAAAGCATGCGGTATTCCCGCAAAAATTTCTCTGCCAGGTTCGCAGTTGGCACAGTGTGTGGTGCAGCCATATTCCGTCTGATCTGATCTTTCCATGTTAGCAAGATGAATATTATTCACTGGACAGGTAGGTACTCGCCTCCAGACACAAGTCTTTGACTTCTTTAGATGCGGGTTTGTGCCAGAGATGCAGGAAGTCGAGGGCCTTTTATACACCTCATAGTATTACCATGATTCCTACATCTCTTCTGAAACTCATTATGGATGAAGGAGCCGATACACAAGCACCAGCGGGCAACTCGGGTTCCATTGCGAAGGTTTCATTAGCAGTCTCGCATCATTCAGTGTAACGTGTGAAATACAAATGAATGATGTCTTACTGAGTACCGTAACAAGGCATGACAAGCACATCGAGTATGTGCCACGACGCTATCAAAGACGGTTCTTGAACCGTGATAGACCTGAAACATGGAGAGGCGTAGCGGATGGCCTTCTCGCACATAGTACTGCTATATATACTGGAGTTTGGCCGTATCTTGGGCAACGTAACGCATTCAACTCCACCACCGACATACCACTTTAATAGCCCTGCCATCGGTAAGGCTTTCCGAGAAGCCATTGGTTCGCTGACGTAATGATTGATGTCTTCAACGCGCGTTAGATATTTATCGAGAACCGAGTCTGAAATTTGATCACTTAGTGTTCGTGCAAGACTACGAGTCAGTACGATACCGATGCCCAAAGTGAGTCAATCGAAAGCAGGCCTCAGGTGGCACTGATGGGACCACTTTAATGACAGGAGCCTGAGCGAACACTAGAAGAGGTGCAAGCGGATGTGAAGAAGTCCATTGATGAGGCTCATGCAAGTCTCAAGGCATCATTTCCGAGGTTGCCAAAGCGTCGGACATTCACCCTGGTGTACGGATATCCAGTAACTGCAAGCTGGATTGTCGACACAGCGAAAAATACTGGTGAAACGTCCGACAACTTCCACGTCGCTGCAACGCATGTCTTGACCAGACTTCGGCGAAAGTCGGGTATCAAGTTCTTGGCTTTGTGCATGCCATACGTAGACGCGGACCCGCCCGACACAGAGCAATGGTTCCTGACAATAGGAACCGATGAACACATTGATGTCAAGAACCGCTGGCCACCGTGTTTTGCGATAGAACGGGTGCGGAGATTGTTGGAGGCTGATGGACCCCCGGTTTGGGTCTGCCATGCTGGGGATTGGACCTGTCCTTGAGGTCCATAACTCGTAATATGATAGAAGCGTGTCTCAAATCGTAGTCTGGAGAGTGTCGTGTGGTCAATGGCCATCTGTGTCGCAGTTGAAAACCTGAATATGATCGGAAGCCGCGTAACACACGTCACTACTGAATAGCTCTCTAAGCAACCTGTCAGTAGAGGGCCATTGCTATGCATGGCAGGACATGAGTCCTGAGTTGTGTCTGATAAGTGTTAGCATTGGGTGTATAAATGTTCCAATTGATGTATACAGTACTCTTTCTTATGCACATATTGAAATCCCTTAGATCTGTATCTGCAATGTCCCTTCATTCATACTTTGTCCTCCTCTGGCTCTGCCATCATTGTACCATAAAAGTCCCTGCCACTCTGACATATTAAAAGTTGGTCTGTATTGGTGGCTTCAAAAAGACTACAAAATTGTATTTGTACCCAGTGCAAGGGATAGCAGCAGCTGCACTACTAGACACAAGTAACATAGATTAAAGTGCTCCTCTGCTGCCAATGAAGAATTGGCAGCTCTGTGACACAGGTCTTTTGTCCCCAGTGGAAGAGATAGTCAATAATACCTGCAGACTTCAGGTAACATCCTACCAGAACCAGAGTGCTAATCCACTACCAATCTTCGATTGGCAGCTCCCTCACATTCATTTTCCCAAACCAAGCTGAAGGTCAGTCATCAGAAAGGGTACTCAAACAGTACTCCAAGCAGCTGGGAGCAGCAATGAAATATATATTACACATGTACTAGCTTCATTTTCTCAAGGGGGCATATAGATACCACTGAATGGAAGAAATCAGGGTTCCAGAGGCAGCAGAGATTGTGAAACACAGGCCCAAGATGCCTGTGACCAAAGAAATTGTATCATAGTCCCTGCCACCCACACATAGACTCAGACTATGGGTGTGAAAAACAATCAACATTGAGACTAATTCCCACAATAACAATCCATCAAACTATTCAGCAGTCAGCATATTATTTCAGAACACAAGTGCAACATTCAAGAACCTCTTATAGCCAACATAAGATCAATGTGTATGTACCAGTAATGATTGGATTAATAGGAAGCACATCCCACCCAGTTGACATGCTTCAACTGCTGCACATCCTAGACTAATGAGCAAGTAGGCAACTATGACATCACTCAACTACAGAAATGCGCTTTCTGCAGTCAAGCTATGTCATAGTAAGCAGGAGCCAATGAGAAGCCAGAGATCCCAACCGGCGCAGCACCTCAGCCACCGACCACAAACAGCCACAGAAGTCAATTCCCACGGTAACAACATGCCACACACGACAAACTGCATGCAGCAAAGGAAGGAGATACAATTAAATGCTCAAAATATTCCGGTAGACGGATAACTCTTCATAGAAAAAACCACGGAAATACATGAGCAACCCAAGATGAAAACACACTATGATTGCAAACAGACAGTACAAATCCGATTTTGTAGTCTTTTTGTAGTCTTCAATACAAGCGGACGTTAAAGCGGACATTGAATGCTGTATTCAAGACTACAGCACAAAAGTTGCACACATTCTCGGCAACAGTGATTCCCACTGGTACAACGTTCGGCATGCACCCAATTTTGCAGGTAAGGACTCATGAAACCCAGGAAAGACCTTGATGAGTACGTTCCATGGCTCCAGACAACACAAGGTTGTATTTTTGAAGTTGCAGATCAGGATGGAAAGTGTATACATCCGTACAATCCCACTCGACCCAAATCTGAGTGGTCCCTCAATACCAGATAGATTCGGAAGCAGGTTGAGTACACAACCAAAGATCCCCCAACATCCTGTTATGATTTTCCCATGCTTATCTCATTCCATTTCCATTCCGAGCATTGCTATTGGACAGTACCTTTCTCTGAGTAGAACTTCCCATGGACGCTATCTTCTTCCCACACGTTATCTCCCTTGACTCACCTTCTACCAATGGGCGCCCTTGTATTTCTCATTTCTCTGAGTTACGTTCTCACAGGATAGCTTACGCGTCCTTTCTTACTGTTCTCTTCTTTGGGTATTAACCCCTATGCCAGTTACTATATATACTGTAGGAAAACCCATGTATTCCTTAGTTCAACCTCCTGTTGAATACAGCGATTACCTGGACTCTTGACTTGACCGTTGGCATTGGCCCGGCCAGACCTACCTTTCAGTATGCTTACTGAGGTAGTGACGACATAACTGTTGGCACGTGGCCCAGTTATCTCAAGACGACTAGTTAGGACATCACTTCCTAACATTAGGTTGAACTCTTCTATGACACTTGCCGACTTCTTCAAGCCTAGGCAACCCCTCCTCTACTCTTGATCATCCTCGCTGGACTCCCTAGTGGAATCCCGTCCCTTGAACCAGAACCATGACGAACCCGATCGATCCCACTGCCCAAGCGGCTGGAGCAGGCATTGCTGCACCAGTCATGCAAGCACGACCAACCGAAATCAAGATCCGTCTCCCAGATGACTTCAATGGAGACAGGAAGAAGACCCGAACATTTTACCTCGCCACTCAACTTTACATGATGGCCAACAAGCACATCTACGACACAGACGAGAAGAAGATCACGTTCTTCATCTCCTTCTTGAAAGAAGGAACTGCTGGCCCATGGGCTGAGGCAGAGATGACGAAGGCATTTACCAATGACCAAGGATTTGGCACATGGGAAGCCTTCACAACACGATTCCTGAACGCCTTCACTGAGGCAGACACCGCTGGAGATGCGAGAGCAAAGTTGCGCGTGTTGCGCCAGACGGCCACAGCAGACGAATACATTGCGGAATTCCGCATGGTGACCGCACGGTGCGGAATCACTGAAGACGTATCTCTGATCGAGTACTTCCAAGAAGGACTCCAGAACAAGCTAGTCGAGAAGGTCTATGGCATGGAACACATGCCTAAGACGATCGATGAATGGTATGAAGCCACATCCCGATTCGACAACCAGTATCGACGGGCAAGAGCGGTCATCAACCGATACAAGGGAGTTGGACAGACCAGAAACCTTGTCACTCCAAGGTACACTCCTCCCACGAAGGACCCCAATGCTATGGATGTCGATCGCCTATCGACCAGCGAAAGGGAAAAGTACATGAAGGAAGGACGATGCTTCACTTGTGGTCAGACTGGACACAGAGCTGCCGATCACAAGCAGGACAAAGGGAGACAGCCAGAGAGAAGGCCTGTCCGTACCGCGGAAGTCAAAAAAGACTCAACCAAAGAAGTGTCTAATATCGCCAAGATCAAAGCCATGATGGCAGAACTTGAAGAGAACAATAAGATCAAGCTTCTCGAAGACATGGCGGAGAAGGATTTTGCTTAAGATGACCTGTATCAGCGTCAGGCTCGTCTCATTCCTACCTTTCTACTGTAACAATAGCAAAGACTGTTGACCAGTCAATGAAGATTGAAATTTTGCTATCACGTGGAAAGGGAAGTGCTGAAACAACTGCAGAAGCTCTCATCGATTCGGGAGCTGGAGGAATCTTTATCAACCAGAAGTTTGTGCTGACAAACAAGCTGAAGACGGTCCCTATACCTAGACCAATCAAGGTCTTCAATGTTGACGGCACCAAGAACAGGCAAGGTCTCATTACCAAGGCCGCATTCCTACAGATGAAAATTGGAGATCGAGTCCGCTCTGTCCGATTTTTGGTCACCGACCTGGGAAAAGAAGACGTTATTTTGGGACTACCTTGGTTACAGAAGAACAACCCAGAGATCAACTGGGTTACTGGACGGATTGACTTTGGAAAGAGAAAATCCATCCTAAACGTAACCATTGAAGAAATCCCTGATGAGGAATTCTCCATCAAACGCCAATACTGCAAAGGACCACTGCTGGCACACGTCGATGACCCCATCTTCCAAAGTACACCGAAATGGAAGATCAAATTGGATGACATCTACGCCCTAATTGCACGAACTAAGGCCGAGGAAGATGACCTCCTCATACGGTTTATCACTGGACAAACGGACACTGGCAAGAAGGTCAACCCTGCAATGCGAATGGCTCAAGAAGCTGAGAAGGAAGCCAAAAGCAAAGTGGAACTACCTGAACGGTACAAAGAATTTGCGGACGTCTTCGACAAGAAAAGCTCAGAGCGATTCCCTGAATGACGACCTTATGATCACGCAATAGATCTCAAGGAAGGATTTGTTCCAAAGAATCAAAAGCTTTACCCTATGTCACCATTGGAGCAACAGAAGCTCGATGAATTCTTGAAGGAAAACTTGTCGAAAGGCTACATCCGACCGTCAAAATCCCCTATGGCATCACCATTCTTCTTCGTAGGCAAGAAGGATGGAGATGTACGGCCTTGCCAAGATTACTGGTATCTCAATGAATGGACGG